AAAATTCATTATGCATATGCATCTGTGTCTGTATGTGGGTATATGAACAGGTACCTAAGTACCCTTGGAGACTAGATGTGCTAATCCCCTGGAGCTGGAGTTACAAGCGGTTGTGAACCACCCAGTGTGGCTGCTGGGAACCAAACCTGGGTCCTCTGTGAGAGCACTAACTGCAGACTTTTAACCTCTAAGCCATCTCTTTTGCCCCAAAATAAATTTTTAAAGGGGGGGGGGAGTAGTAAAGACAAATGAGGCAGGTGCCCTTGTCATGGGGTGATGGGTTGTGTCAAGAGACCAACTGCATCACAGGGTACCACGCCTCTCCCTGCTGCCCCCAGAACAGCCTGGAGGAAGGGGTGTGGCTTTTCCTTCTGCAGCACTGGGGTCAAGCCACACTAGGTGAGTGCTCTAGCGGCACCCTCAGCTGGGTCGAACTTGGTTTCCTGGTTGGTTTTTTAAGCCAGCTAAGCCACAGCTTTACTGTTGACTGGATACATTACAGCCAAACCTGTCAGGGTAAGTTATTCAGCATGCTTTCCTGGCTGGGAAAGAACATGCAAACCAAACCAACCAACCAACCAACCAACCAACCCAACTAGCCAAACCAACCAACCAAACAGCAAAAACCAACCCAAGTTTAGCATCTGTAGCTTGCCAGAACACAGAAAGCAAACAGGTAAAATAAAGAAACAAATCAAAATGGATTTTCAGGTTTGGAGAGGCGAAAGCAAGTTGGTTTCTGGGCAATTATCTGTAGCCTTTAAAGCTGCATTCCACTGCAGGCGTGGGCTCGAACCAGTGCTCACTGAGTGCTGCTCTTGGCACTCACGTGAACAACCAAAACTGTAACACTTTCCCCTCGGGGATTAGGAACACTACTGGTTATTTCCCAAACCAGATGTCTGAACCACAGGGAAGTTGAAAATGTCAGCTGCTGAAGGCGAATCTCGCTTTGGGGGGACACAAGGTCAAGGACTTCAGCGCACAACCAGATTGAAAACAACACAAAAGGTGATTTAGTCCTCTGTGTTGTCAGTACCAGAGGCCGCACACTAGGTGGCACTCTGCGCCTAGACTGAAACCCAAAGAGCAAAAGAGCGCGTGCAAGAGCGCGTGCAATCTAGGGTTTGCAGGGCTCTGACGGAGGGTGCATTAAGTTGGACGGGCGGGCGAGAGATGGACAGACTCCGAAAAGTTCACCATGGGGCGAGTGTGTGGGAAGACGACGGCTGAGAAATTTAATAGTCGCATTGATGAGTTGAACGGGTAGCTGGGCTGTGTCGACCAAGAACACTGAACGTGGATTCTGAAGACAGTGCTGACACAGAAGGCAGTCAAGGCCGGGGCTACACAGGGAGATCCTGGCTCAAACAACAAACACAAAAAGAAACAAACCCAAATAAATACAAGAGAAAAGGATTACTCTTCAGGGACAGAGGATGTAAGAATTTTGGACTTCAAAGGAGCTGGGAAGCTTCCGGAGTGTAAAGGATGCTAGGACCTGGAGCACACTTCCATAGACGAGCCTAGCCCGACAGACTCCGGGCTTGTGACGGAAACAGAATATAAAACCTAACCCCATAAGCAGGCAGGCAATGCTAGAAAGTTATTTTCAATGAAAGACGAAACGGGGGGGGGGGGGGGCAGCGAGACAGCGCAGTAGGGCAAGGGCTTGCCTGCTGCCCAGTTCTGACCTCGTATTAAATCCCCAGACCATGGAAAGGTGGAAGGAGAGAACGGGCTCTTCCAGCCTCCACATGTGCCCGCCCCACCATTCACACACAGGGATAACGAATGATAAACTGGGAAATCTACACGGCTCTCAATACTCACCTGAGGCCTTGGCGGGAACCAACTACTGGCTCTCCTTAGGAGACACGAGGAATAGTCTGTCACAAGAGACCTGTAGTACAGGGGCTACCGACAGTGAAGACCATCTTCAGGACATGAGGCTGGATGGGCATTCTCCCAGCACCTGTTTGATGTGGAATGACTTTTTTTTTTCTTTTTTTGGTTTACGGGTGTAGTGGTTAATTATGATTGCCAACTTGATGGATCAGGAGCTGTCTAAGAGATACACCTGGAACCAGCTGTCAGCGAGTCTCTAGCCCCCCCTCCTCCCCTGCTAACAGAGATGGGAAGGATCAGTACACTGGGCGGCGCAACTCCACTGCCCGGGGTCCCTGACCAATAAGAAGAGTGAGTTCAGCACCAGCATTCATCTGCTTCCTGGCTGTGGATGCTGTGTGACCAGCTGCCACAGGGGAATGCACCCCCACCCTGTTGGCTATCTCTGTCACAGGGAGGAGAAAAGTAACTAATTCCAGAAACATCAGAGGTGACCACGGCACTGATCCGCAGTCCTGTTGAGGTGAACCCTGGGTCTTGCAATGTGAGGCAAGGACTAAATCGCTGAGCTGACTCCCAGCCTGGACTCACCCTGTAACAAACCTGGGCTTTGCTCAGGAAAGGTGGATGCTCAGCAGAAATTCATCCTTTGGGAATCTTCCTTCAAAGATGGTACGGCTTTCACCTAAAGTCATGCAGCACTACCCTGGCTCTGGACCCGTGGCAAGTCGAAAGCATTCGAAGCAATTGCTAACTTCCGATGAACCCGCAATGTGCTGAGTTCACTATCAGATTTGAAACTTAAGTCAGGCATCAAATGACACTGACATCAACAAACACATTCTAGAGCTTTAGATAGGATCTTGGCTTGCTGCGGCTCAGGCTTTGAGTGTGCAGAGCAGTTAAAAATGGTAGGGACAGATATATGGATGGGTGCTATCTTCTTTTGTCAAGGAAAGTACTTAGCCAGGCGGTGGTGGCGCACGCCTTTAATCCCAGGACTCGGGAGACAGTGGCAGATGGATCTCTGGGAGTTTGAGGTCAGCCTGGGCTGTTATACGCAGAACTCATCTCGAAAAACCAAAACGGAAAAGAAAGAAAATTACTTAAAGGAAACGATACCACTACCAAGAGTTCATTGAAGGGTACTTTGACACCGTAAATACTGGAATTGCCTTACAATAAAGAGTAAATTCATGCTGATAACTTTTTACTATTACTTTTCCTTCCTGGAGAGCTAAACATTTGAACTTGGTCAAAATTTGGGGACCAAAGTTTTATGTCATTCAGCACAATCACATCCACTGAAAAGGCTGAGAAGTGGCTCTGCCTGTCAGGGACAGGTCTACCGCGGAAGCTTAGGTCTGTGACCCTAGCAGGAGAGAGGCCGAGACAGACCTGTGTTCAAAGCTAGCCTGTGTCACACGGTAAGACTCTGTCTCTAATAAATACGTCTTGGCAACTAGCAGAACACACTCTCAAACAGAGCCTATACCACGTAGGCTATTAACTGGGGACCTCAGGCAAAAGCCAAATGTTACCATGATGGATGCAAAAATAAAAAACCATCTACCTAACTGGGAGCGGCTATCATTTACCAAATAAACCTTACCATATGATGCCATAATCGAATGCTTATCTTTTTGGTTCCATCACAAACTGTGATGTGTTGGGCTGGACAGATGGCTCAGCGGTTAAGAGTATTGCCTGCTCTTCCAAAGGTCCTGAGTTCAATTCCCAGCAACCACATGGTGGCTTACAACCATCTGTAATGACGTCTGCTGCCCTCTTCTGGCCTGCAGATATACACACAGACAGAATATTGTATACATAATAAATAAATATTTAAAAAAAAAACCTGTGATGTGCAATTATGGGGTGTACACATCTGACAAACGGATGTCTCTGCATCTCTAACATGGCCCTTCACACTGGAAACCAAGAGAACTCAAGACCTTTCTGCGGAAGTGAGGCCAGACTTGGAGCGGTTTCCCCTTCCTGGGGAGACAGCCACATGTGTATGTTGGTCTGAAATCTGGAGACAAACCCTGAAAGGGCCAGTTAGTACAACTTCCTTGATTTAAACGGCCGAGAAACAGGCTGCAGACAGTTTCGTGGGTAAAGCGCCTGCTGTGGTTTGTGTGAAGACTAGAGTCAGGATCGATCCCTAGACCCCCAGAAAAGCGAGGTGTGCCTGGAATTCCAGCATTGGAATCCAGTGCTGGGGGTTTGGGGAAAACAGAATTATTCCTGGAGCTCCTTGGGCAGCCAATATAGCCAAATCGATGAGATCCAACAGTGACATCTGGCCTCCACATGGGGCCACAGACCCCGTATGAACACATACAACATGCACACACACAGGCTGAGAAGGTTAGTAAATGGCAGAGAAAAGAGCACACTGCTCAAGGGGGCTCAGCTCGTCACTGATGAGGACGTGAAGCCTTGGCTGTTCAGGCAGAGCAGCAACTATGCACATTAACACAGTCTTCGAGCCTTTGTAAGGAAAAGGCTACACAGTTGAAAAGAAGATGGGATCCTTTTTATCTTCAAAGCTGGTTTCTTTACTAGTGCAAGCCATGCACTTGATTATCCAGGGTGGGAAATAAGAATTTCCTATGCTTTTGATTGGAACTTGTTACTCTCTGCAAGGCTGTGTGATTTCGGGATCAATATACTTGAACATGGGTATCGAATCCCATAAGGCCTTCAGTCCGATGCCCTTCCGCTATTGGGCTTAAGTCCTATATGACTACGTTTTGTTTTGTTTTTGCACATATGGATGTGTGCAATCATATTCACATGTATGTGGTGCATGTGTGTGCAGGGGTGTGTTCAAATGGAGGTCTGAGATTGACACCAGTGTCTTCTTTGATAGTTCTCCACTGATCTGAGGCAGTGCCTCTGATTTTACTCAGATCTCATTGATTCTGGCTAGTCCAGTTGGTCAGCTTGCTCGGCTGATTCTTAACCCCTGCCTCCAAGGCTGGAATGACAGGCAAGCCGCCATGCCTGCCTGGCTTTTACACAGGCACTTTATCCACAGAGCCAAGGTCCCAACATTCATTGTGACTACTTAACCAGCATCACTGTGGTGGTCTAGATTTCTGCTATTGGTGGATCAATTAAATATCCACAGAAAGGAACACAAGGAAGTTGTTGCCCCTTTATTGTTGACCTGGGCGATTTTAGGGAGAATAACATTCAGTTAATTCTGACGGAAAACATTAAAACACACAAGATGAACCTACGCCATCACCTTGGCCACAAGTACAGACAAGGTGATGGCAGGTTTCCCTTATGCTGTAATAAATCAATGCAACTTGATCATACTCCATCATACTCCATCACCTTCTAAGTTAACTAAGTAATCTGAAAAGGTGATTTTTCTTTAAATTTACAAGTACAATGTACATGTACATGATGTTGAGAATAATTTAATATGTTAACCTCAGATACAACTATATTCTAAGACCATTACTGTAAAGCAACGGATCCTTACAAGACCAAAATAACCCATATACCATGAGGTTGGTTTAGCCTTTCTTTTTTATGCTCTTTCAACAAATGTGCACCACGATGCTCCAACAGCAAGTCTAAAGCCATGAATACTAAAGCTGCGATTTGTGAGGTACCAACCACATCTAGAACCAGGGAGGCCAATCAGACAGAGTGTGTGTCTCGTTAATTAATTAATTCTAATTAAACGATCAGGTGACATCACAACACTCTGGGGTGCAGCACTGAAAATGTCCATTAAGTTTCTTTTTTCTTGATGATCAGAGGTCCCACGTTGTCGCCAGTCTCTTCGTTATGTTTTATGTGAGCCCCATCACAGAATGGAAACTAGGAAGAGAGAAAGATTGTCAGATTTCTAATCTCCACATCAGTCTGTGCTTGCAGAAGCGGGATAGGGATGCCTGATTCCCACACATCACAGCTTCTATTTTTCTTGGCTAGCAAATGTACTTCATTGAACAGGAGGAAGAAATGCACGGGGGATAAAAATCCAGATCGCTACTCAAACTTCCCTGATATCTGGTGACGCATGCTAAAGGCTACCACTCTAGGGACCTATGCCTTTTGCCTATTTACAAACAGGCAAAAACAAAACAAAAAACCTATGAAACCAATGAGGTGTGTGCTGAGGGTTGAATCCTGGATTTTGTGCACACTCTAACCACAATTATGCCCATGGCTCTACTTGCAAGAGTCCAAGTGTATTCCATTAAAATCAATTTGTACTTGGAGGTAGTAGTATATACCTGTAATGTTAACATTTGAGAAGCAGAGGCACAAGAATCAAGATTCAAGGCCACATAAAATCCTGTCTCAAAAAAAGAACAAACAAACAAACAAAAAAACCCAAAACCCAGAAGAAAAATCAATTCACTATGACCCCTATGCCAATCATCCTTGCTGCAATCTTTGCTCCAGTTTTTCCATTTTGCTCATCCCTGAGCCCCTAATGTTTTTCCCTTTAATGTACAGTTCATTTTTTAAATGGGTCATGGAGACATTTTCTTTTGGAAATATGATTATAAATTCCAAATGTTCCTTCATTTTTACTAATCCACATCACAGATCTAACTGACATTCTTGTGTCTGCCAGTGTTTTCCAGAGAGGTCCCAAGAGTCAACTTCTGCAGGACACGGACTTGCTTCCGCTGTGCTTACAAAACAGATCAGGGACTGATCTGAGTCACAGCACTTTTTATTATTCTTATTTTATGTGTAAGCTGTTTACATGTGTGTGCAGTGTCTGTGAAGGCCAGAAGAAGGTGTCAGATTTCTGAACTGGAGCTACAGAGCTGCCACACGTGCGCTAAGAACAGGAAATGGCAGCCCTGGGTTTGAACTGTGGGGACAAAGAGCATTCCTGGGGGGTACTCTTGATCTACGCTGCTGATCTACTCACAGTTTAATAGGCATTTAGGGCACCAACTTGTGCCTATGCTTGATTCTGAGATCTTAACTCTTAACAAAGTCCTTATCCACTTATGGGACAAGTCAATGCCAGGAAGTTCCCTCCTGCCTCTGCCAGCCCTCTTTCCCTGTCTACTCTCACGGACAGCAGCTCATACTGGTAGCACTTGTTTTTTTGGTAACATAGGCTTTCACCGACTTGGACCCAGAGTTTTAATTATTCTGTTGAAACGGCAGCAAAAGGTCAGCTGCTAATTGCTTAATCCAAGAGTCTCCCCATCATCACCCACTCACCTGGCCATGCTGCTAGGCCAGTTCAGTACCAGAGCCTGGAAAACTCTCCTTCCTACTTTGACACTCTATCTTAACTTCTCTCCCCAGGGTCTGTTCTATCTCCTGATTCTGTGTCCAAATGCAGAACATTCTTTGAGATTTCATCTCTGATTCTTATCGGGTCCACCATGACTCACCAGTTCTGCTGGCCTCCGCTGCCACCTTGTCCCTAAGGCCACACCCACTGCTCCTGCACATCAGCACCCCAAACTCTTAGCACTGAACTGCTTAGCACTGCTGTGGAGACATTAGCTTTTCAACCTGAATTCCGCGTTTCTGGTGAAGATGCCCCCTTTAAAGCACACACTAAGACCCTGCAGTTTCCTCCCCAGTCTCCCTGACCAGTCCCTGCCAGGGCTGGAGAGACATCAGCGGGTACGTGTGTGCTGCTCTTCCAGAGGATCTGAGTTTGGTTCCCAGTACCCATGTCAGGTAGCTTACAACTACCTATAACTCTAGTTCCAGGGGGACCCAACTTTGTGGGCACCTACACTCATGCACATACATAAATATAATGAATAAAAGCCGGGCAGTGGTGGTGCACACCTTTAATCCCAGCACTCAGGAGGCAGAGACAGGAGGATTTCTGTGAGTTCAAGACCAGCCTGGTCTACAAGAGCTAGTTCCAGGACAGCTACACGGAGAGACCCTTTCTTGAAAAACCAAATCAAACCAAACCAAAAAACAAAACAAAGGAAAACAAGTCTTTTTAAAAAGTCACTCTTTTCCGTGGACCCTGTAGATTTCTATGCACTTCTGCAGCCAGCATTCTATGGTAAATCACGTCTAAAAGACCTGTGGCCCAAACCATGAAGCAGTTTGCACACTGGGTCTCCTCACAGACTTCACCGGCTCCCTCTCCTTAGGACTGCTGCTGTCTGGCACATTTTGAGAAAGCATTCCTCATGTCTGCATATGCTCATGCACATGTTTCCCATTCTCCCAGGGGCAGTCTAACTCTCAGAAAATTTTAGCCCACGGCACAAGCACTCCCATTCAGTAATGCACCTGAATCACACATACCGGGCTCCCCTGGGACACCAGTGTTTGCTTGTGAGCAGGTGCACACACTGAGCAGGTTTAGGAATTTACATTTCACATCGCTGATGGAAGAGCTTCTGCGACTGGGGAAAGTCTCCATTTTTCCTTCCTTGTTTAATGAGCAGCAAGAACAGAGCCTATGTAGGCACAGCTCTGAAAACAAGTCTAGTCTACAGAGCACCAGAAGATTATGTCCTAGCAGCTCTGGGAGTACCTACAGTTCACATTCCATATCTACACCAGGCTTTGTGGGACACATGACATCTCTTAAACTGTGTTTTATGAGTACTGCTCCTGCACAAGACCTGAGTTTGAACCCTAGCTCTCAGCACTCGTTGGGCACCTTACAGCTGTCTGTAATTCAAGCTCCAGGGGGATCCAGTGCCTCTGGCCTCTGTAAGCATTTGTGCTCACGTGAAGATACCAATACACGCACGCACACAAACACACAGTATTGAAAACCAAAAAGTAATAAAATAAATTACTCCCCCAAACACACTTTCTAGTAGGCATTCTACAGCCTTTTCTATGTTTATGACACAATTCATGATAGCATTCTCCACTGTGTAAGCCTCCAATATACCGCCATTTCAGAAAATGGTACTTGAAATTATGTGGGGTTGGTTTTTTTTCCCCCCTTTTTCTAAGATCTAGGACTAAACTCATGGCTTCTGGGGAAGTTCTCCACCACTGCCTATACTCCCAGCTCAGCATGCCACGGCCTTGGAAATTGAGCTTTGGAAATCAATTTTCCACAAATGTGAACAGCAGCCCATTCAGAGACAGCACTGAAATTCAGAAGTCACCCAGTGTATCACCCTGTCAAGACGTTTAGAAAGAGGATCCCACTGTCCATGCCTAGAGCCTGTAGGTGTCACTTCCATCTGACAGAATAGAATTCTTATTACATCAAGTAGATTTTAATGAATTAAAAATTGCCAGGTATTTAATTATAGGAACTGCAGCTAAAAGAAGGCTTAGGATATTTCCCAGTAAGGAATCTAAGCCAGGCGAGGTGCTGTACCTATAATCCACACTCGGGAGCCAAGACAGGAAGACTGGCATCAGTGCAAGGCTAGCCTGGCTACAAAGGGAGCCTCTGTAGGTCCACGGACTACCCAGCAAGATCCTGTCTCTCACACACACTTGCTCGGTCTATTTCTCATTATATTCAGGCTGCAGACATTCCTCCCGAGATCCCCTTGGAGAAGAATTCCCAATGGAAAATCAAAGAGATTTTTCCTTCATCTTTGGGGAAGTAAGATGATGGTTAACTCAGCTTAACTCAGTGAGGGTATGATGTAATACAGCTGTGTGGCAGCTGTGTATCTGAGAAAATATATCCACAAGAGCAGGGGAAGCTGCATGCGGTGGGGCAAGCCTGCAACCCCAGCAATGGAGGCAGAGGCAGCAGGGCAGCCTGTCTGAGCTGCCTAGTGAGACCCTGTCTCAGACAAACCCAGGCTCACACGGGGGCAGCGCTCACCTTTTTGGACCTCCAGCAGCGGCAGTACACGGCCTTATCTCCCAGGTCCTCCATGTCGAAGGCATGCACGACCTTGGGGTTGTCTTTCTGGATGTGGAGGTTCACCATAGCTTTGGTACGATTATCTTTACCATAGAACTTTTTGTAAGCCAGGTAACCGAGAGCAGCTGTCCCAGCAGCAAATGTCACGGCTGCAATCCATTCAACTGCAACAGACAAGTGAGGCATGGAGTTAGAGACAGGAAAGCCCACGAAACCTGACAGGCATTTTAAAAATCACATCCATTTCTTATTTATGTGTAGATGGCATGTGCTCACAGCACATGCTGAGGTCAAAGGGCAACTTCTGGGAGTTAGCTTGGAGTCTCCCTCCATCACGTGGGTCCTGGAAATCTAACTCAGGCTGACAGGCTTGGTAGCAAGCACCTTGACCTGCGGATCCATCTTGCCAGTCTGCTAACGATTTCCAGTGTTAATAAATGACCCAAGCGGGGGCTGGAGAGATGGCTCAGCGGTTAAGAGCAGTGCCTGCTCTTCCAAAGGTCCTGAGTTCAATTCCCAGCAACCACATGGTGGCTCACAACCATCTGTAATGAGGTCTGGTGCCCTCTTCTGGCCTTCAGGCACACACGCAGAAAGAATATTGTATACATAATAAATAACTAAATAAATATTTAAAAAATAAATAAATAAATGACCCAAGCCCAGTGGTGCGGCAGTCCTTTTCTCACGGCTTCCTACAGTCCTCACTAATACAGATGTGGTTTTCCTGCTGAGTGGACAGCTAAGCTAATCTAAAAGAGGGAAGAGCAAAGATGACAGAAAAGGGACAGCAAGGCTTGATAACCTTTCAAGCGCCCACTAACATCTTCAGCAGCTCATGTGCCTGCAAGTGCCTACTGCTTAAAGAAGAAAACTAAGTCTGAGAAAGAAGACCCAGGTTATAAACAAAACAGAAAGGTCAGAGGTGATGGCTTTCACTAGCAAATGAGCTCACGTAAAGAGCAAAATCCTGTAGCGGCTTTGAAATGCTTTAATTTACCAAAGCTGCCACAGTAACACAAACAGAACCAGATTGAGACAAGACGAAGAAAGACCTGTAACCCCCGCCTCCCCAATTGCCAAGCATTCCCAGGATCTGCCTGGCAGGGTTGGGTCTGGGTCAGAAGTTATTCAAAGGCAACCAAAATGTGCAAATTGCTTCCTCATAAAATACAAAGCATAATGTAATAGTTTCATATGAAACATTCAATAAATTCTTCATTTCTATTTTCTTTCTGAATTTCTAAAACTTCATTCTGAGCAAAATATTATTCTACTTCCTAATAATAATAAAAATTATTGGACTAACAGGCCATGTATTTATTCCTTCTGCATCCAAGGACTCCTTAGAAACTCAAGTGCTTAGCAGCTACCCCAGCTCCAGGCAGTGAGTGCAGAAGCCAAGTTCAGCATTATCTGGTTGGCCTTAGCCTCAGAGGAGAGTTGTCTAGTCCCAGCATGGAGGGGCTGCAGGAAGAAGTCGAACAGGGTCAGGAGAAACACACTGGGCTGCTTCCTAGCACTTCCTCAGTCAGGTCTTCAGTGTCTGAAATGAGTTCCCAGACTATCAAACAAAGCCCTAGGGAGATAAGTACAAGAACATTTTATTGCCAAACACAATCCCACGGGCACAGTGGACCCCAGGACGTTTCCGCTGTCTCACAAGTGGGATGGATCTGATGGTGCCTACACAAACCACAACTGGAGCTCGAGCCTTTTTTCTTTTCTTGAGACATGGGTTCTCTGTGTAGCCCTGGCTGTCCTGGAACTTGCTCTGTAGATCAGGCTGGCATTGAAGTAAGAGGTGCACCTGCCTCTGCCTCCTGAGTGCTGGGATTAAAGGTGTACTGGAGCTCAGTCTTAACAGCTTCAAGTAGAAGAGCCTTCATACCATGCTAACCCCTTTCATCTTAGTCTTCTCAATTCTTAATAGCTTCCACCCAACGTTTCTAATGGGCACACTGTTTTCAACTACATAGAGCAACACCTTTCTCTGTAAAAACCAATTTAGATTGGCTTCCATCCCAGGTCATTTCCATTTCTTCTTGCTAGGGCACCTAAAATAAACATTAACTGGTATTTTGTTATTCTCAGGTGCCACATGACCAGTGGTCACCTGACACCCTCAAACCTTTGACCTCATCGGGAATTTTTCTTTTTACAGCACTGGGAACTGACCCAAGGCTTCTAGGCAAATGTTCTGCCTCTACGCTGCATGCCGGCCCTTCAGCATGTTTTGTAACTATGTATTTTGTGCACATTTCTCTTGAACACTAGTGTTCAAGTGGGGTTGAATTTTAGTTCAGTTTGCCTGACTCCCAGCCTTCCCCTTCCACAAAGAGTTCAAGGAAGAAGCTGCAGGTAGCTACAGCCAATGCAAAGTCACTCACAATTCAGACGGAAGAGTTTGAGGCCAACCTTAGCTAGACATTGGACCCTGTCTCAAAAGATGAAAAACCACAATGTCACAGTGTCTGCCAAGATGTAATCGGAATTCAAAAGGCAGCTAGCTATAAGCCCTCGTCTAAATTAAGATAGCACAACTCCTTGAATATTGTGATCTTAGTTCTTTTGTTTCAGGAACTTAATTTTCCAGGTAAATTAACCCACCCCTAATGCCCATGTGCTGTAATGGAGCCCAGGCTCCGCCTCCTGAGAAGCCTTTTATATTTATTTTAATAATCCCCACAAACTTCAAATGTACTGTGGCTTGTAGAACAACTGGCATTTAGTTCAAGGTAGTAAACATTCTTATATTCTCTCTTCTCAGATTACGATATTAATATACAGGCTGACATTAAAAAACAAATCCCAAATAAACTTTTACCTTCTCCAGATTTTTTTGACCAGGGGAGAAATGAAAGAGGATCGGACACAGAAAATCAGCCATACCATAGATGTTGAAGCACACAGATACTCAAGGGTGTCTGTCCTGTGGGAATCAATATACAGGATCTGTGACCACCCTGACAAGTGTCACAGTACTGTACGGGTGCTGGAGAAACAGCAATGAATTCACCCCAAGTGAGTGCTTAGACTCACAGAACTACATAAACCTGGGGAGTGGGGGCGGAGAATTCTATTCTTCCTAATTCTGATTTTCTAATCTCATTTAGGGACAAATTGCTAGTTTCCAGACAGAAGAAAAATGTTCCTATTTTCTCACCCCATTACTGAACCCTCAGTCTTTTTCTGGCAAAAAGTGGCTAACACCCCTGCTAACTCCAGAGCAAAGAAGGAAAAGGGAAGTACAGAGATAGATAAAAAACAATTCAAATGCCAACCCCGAGGAGAAAGAGTCAGAGAGTAAGCAAATCACACAACCCAAGAACACTCAGTGCTCGCCCTGCCTCTTCAGGTGGGGAGCCCTCAGAGCATGGCAGAAGTCTGTCTCTTAGGGACGGGCCGGAGTTCCGCATCCACCGCCAGATGCTGAGTGCCCGCTGGGGTCCTGCTCTTCACTCAGAGCATGGCGGGGTCAGTCTTATGTTCATTCACAACTTCAGAGACAACGCAGGACTCTTGAGAGGCTGAACTGTTCTCTACTGGCCCTTTCGATCCTGAGCACTCGCCTGCCTCCTCCAGGGGCTAGTCTCTATCCTTTGCTACCTATATACAGTTCTTACAGGTGGCCTCTTCCTGTAGATCCGTCAAACCTGTTTTCTTCTACATAAACACCATTAAAGGAAGATTAGAGCCAGGCAACGGGGCGACAAGCTCTCTGCTTCCTTCTGCTGCTGTGGGCTTGCTTTATAGCCTCTGGTTTTCCTTGGACGTGCTCCTAAACCCACAGTCCTCTTTATGACTGACTGATCCCTCCGATCTGCTTTTTCTGGGAGGGTGAATTTGCTTTGCCTTAGAAATCTCACCCTTCTCCTTTAGACTGGTTTCTGCCCAAAGGACCTTCACCTACCCACTACCACCACCAACTGCCACAGAACCGGAATGTTTGTGGGTCAGGAGAGGGGGAGGGGCACCATGCTGAAACCAAGGCTTCCAGGCCTGTGGCTTTTTTCCCTCAAGTTTTGGTACATGCGGATCGTGTCAACATCAAGGGAGCAATATATAGTGGTAGATGACCAATTCACCTTGGTTTTCACCCGTCCCTTCCACAGCCTCAGTGTTCCCATACCTTTCTCAGACTCAGAAAACAAAAAGAATCCATGAGCATAGGGCACTGCAGACACCCACCCTGGGTTATTTTTCCTCATTCCAGAAACTTCCACCAAAGACAACAGTTCGTATTTCAGTTCCAGCTCCAAATCCCACTGCTCATTATCTGCTTACTATGTTCTTGGTGTGACCTGTACATTCTTTTGCAGGAAAAAAATCCATTAAATAACTTTGCAAGACTCAAAAAACTTACTGAATTGATAAATTGTGATAGAATGACCTGGGAAGAGAGGAAGGAGTTTGAAGAAAGCATGGATATAAATAGTGTCTAAACTGATGGGCCAGCATTAAGAGCTTGTGATGACCCAGGCTTGGAGTGAACAACAAAGCTCACAAAAACACATAAATCCCTCTTTACAACCTGTGGACAGGCCCAAGTAAGAGAGGGCAGGGCAAGGCAGCCACCATTAAAACACAAGGCTTAGGGCTGCCAAGAGGGCTCAGAGGTGTAGGTGCCTGCTGCCAAGTCTGTTTCCCTGAGTTCCATCCCAGACCCACACTGCGGGAGGAGAGAATAATGCCCACGAGTTGTTCTCTGATCTCCGCCCAAGTGCTGTGATCTGTGTGCCCCCCATCCTCGGCTCATACAAAGTAAGTAATTTATAAAAAAATTTTTGATTTGAGAGGCTGGTGGGATAGCTTCGTGAGTAAAGGCACTTGCAGGGAAAGCCAGATGACCTCATCTACAGGACGGAAGAACAGACTCTACAAAGCTGTCCTTAGACTGCTACTCTGCTCAGCAGCACACGTGCCTCCTTCCACACCAGCAGCATGCATGTCTCCCTCCACACCAGCAGCACACGTCTCCCTCCACAACAACATGCATGTCTCCTTCTTCCACACCAGCAGCACACGTCTCCCTCCACAACAGCAACATGCATGTCTCCTTCTTCCACATCAGCAGCATGCATGTCTCCTTCTTCCACATCAGCAGCATGCATGTCTCCTTCTTCCACATCAGCAGCATGCATGTCTCTCTCCACATCAGCAGCATGCATGTCTCCTTCTTCCACACCAGCAGCATGCTTGCCTCCTTCCACACCAGCAGCACGCATGTCTCCTTCTTCCACATCATATGCATACAAACACACAGAGGAAATTATTCAGTTGAGCTGGCTTCTTGGTTTTAGAGGTAAAGATAAATTATGGTTGACTTTTGGCTGGATAGAGTAAATCATTTATATCAAGCGTGTTTTAAAACAAGTAGTCAGATGTGGCCGCTTATATCTTTAACCCAGCACTGGGAAGCAGAGTTAGGCAGGTCTTGGTGAGTTTGAGTCCAGCCTATTCTATGTAGGGAGTTCCAGGCCAGCCAAGGTTATTTAGTGAGACCTGGTCTCAAATAAATAAACAAAGCAAATGAAAACAAGCATTGGTAAGACAGCACAAAATAAGGCTGTCTAGAGAGCCAGGAGAGAAAGACTTCAGTCAGTCTGGTGGAAATGAAAGGATGAAGGATGACAGTTGGCTCTGAGGTGTAGAGAGGCATTTAGATCAGAGTGAGTCCAGAAAGGCCATCTACTGGGCAAGAGGAAGAATCATGAGATTGCATGCATGGGCACTGAAGGCCACTTTCCAGAAACCAGAATGAGTTCATGCCCAAACTGTCTCATCCTAACTAGGGGAGGGTCTCAAGTTCTACTGCTCTTCTGCATTGCCTCTAACTCTAGTCCTGGTCTGACACCCACTTAGTTTTATTAACCACTTTCCCCATGCACCCAAGGCTTTCCCTCCCCAATATAAAGAATTCTGAGAGCATGGACATTCTCCCTGCCCCTTTTAATTTTTTTTTTTGTCTTGAATAATCATGTTACATAGCCCAAGCTAGCCTCCAATTCTTTGATTCTCTAGCCTCAGCCTCCTGGGATAGCAGGTTATTTGCAGCCACACCTGGCTGTAAATCAATATTTTATTTTTTAACTAAATACCAGTAGGAATGTGACTCTGGGGGTCCAGGATGAGGCTCAACTGGCACATTGCTTGCTTTGTTGGCACGAACCCTGAGTGAAATCCCTAGCGCTAAATAAACTGGGTGTGATATTGCATACCTACAATCCCAGCACCCAAGTAGAGGCAGGAGGATCAGGAGTTCAAGTTAGAAGGCAGCCTGGGCTAAACAAGACTCTATTAAAAAAAAAAAAAGCAAGCAAACCACAACAATTTTATGAGGTACAAGAAGTAAACTTTAAAAGGTATACTGCAGGGGCTGGAGAGATGGCTCAGCAGTTAAGAGCTATTAAGATGGTTTTTCCAGAGTACCAGGGCTCCATCCATCCCCAGTACCCAGGTGTCTGGAACACCAGTTCACGGGTAACTGACACCCTCTTCTGGCTTCCATGGGCACATCATGCACAATGTGAACCAGTAACACGCAGCCCAAAACCTCGTACACATTAAATAAATAAATCTTCAAAGGGGGGGGGATTTATTTCCAAGGCATTCTATATTCCAGCTTTGAGGGGGAAGGAGCTGGAAGAAGAGACTTGCAAAGTCTTTGGGACTCTCCGTATGGTCTTCATAATGGTCTCTCTGCTGTTCCTATTTTTAAAAAATTACCCCATATGACAAAGGTAAGTACTTCATGTTGGAGCTAATTAGGGGTTCCAACAAGAGGTTTTATATACCTTCAAGAACGGTAAACTAACGAGAGCCACCTTTGAGACTCCTTGTGCCCATTAAGCAAAGCCAAAACTTTATCTTCGTTTCAACAGCATACTAAATCAGGGCCTAGCATCTGCTCATACAGTAGGATCCCAGATTTCAAACAAAAACCTATTTTGCAATCTCTTGGCTCACCTCACACATGTGCAACAGTGTTCCTAACAAAGTTAAGACAACTGCACCACAAATCATATGAATGTTTTATTCTATGCAATAGTATGACTGCCAAGAACACTGTTTTTGCAGGTGTGGTGGCCCAGGCCTATGGTCTAGGCACTGGAGAGGTTGCTACAGGAAGATTCTGAGTTCAAATCTAGCCTGGGCTACAAGGAAAGATTATATCCTAAAAAAACAAAAGAAAACAAAACAAAACACCAGATTCTAAAAGCCATAAAAACAATTGAAACTCACCAAAGTGAATGTATTTAAAGGAGTCCCAGATGGCTATCCTTCGGAGCAAAATTCTGCAAAATTTAGTAACTTAAAAAATGTTTGGGCATTAGCATGATGGCTCAAGGGGGAAATGTGCCTGCTACTTGATAACCTAAACTTGACCCCCGGGACTCACGTGGTGGGAGAGAATTAACTCCGGCAAGTTGTCTTCTGTCTGCCACACGAGCCACGGCACCGGGGACACTCACACAAATACACGTTAAAAATAAGTAACACAAAAACGTCTTTCTCCCTTTGACATGCCAAGTCGGTTTCGTCGACATACGTAGAACCTTCCAGTATACAGAACTCAACTAACGTTAGAAAAGGCTACAGAATCCAGCACTACAGCCAACCAGTATTTGCTGTTTGATTCAATGGGGGGCTCATCGTCACTTTTTACCTTTATTAAACTAAGGTTAGAGGTAACCAAACCCTGGGGTGTGGCATTTTATACCTGGGCTGAGTCTATCGCCCATATTGTATAGCCTGTGGTCAACTTTACCATAAAACCTTACACTAGCCAAGTTTCACAAGTTCTCTAAATTTCAGTCAGATTTCTTCAAAAGACTGTTTTCACGGCTTAGGGAAGACTGTTTTCAGTTGTTTCTTGGACCACTGCCACCAGTGGCCGGATGCAAGATGCGTAAGAAACTGGGAAACTGAAGACCTCGGTCGGATTGGCTTTCTTCACCTTAAATTACAAAGCCAGCAAAATATCTACGATATGACGATTCCCGGACGCCAGGGACGCGGAAACCTGCCAGTTTCCCCACATGGGGGGGGGGACTAAGGGGCAGAGGAGTTTTGGGGTGAACTGTGACCTGCTAGCCTGTGCCTGGCTGGGAAAGCGGTTCACGGTTCGGAGATGCCGGCCCACACCAGCATCCCGTGAGCTCCGGGCAGGCCTGCGCCTGTCCTTGTGCAGGTCAAGGTGACGGTCCGGATAAAGGTGGCGGGGACCCGGCCGCGGGCAGCTCACCTCGAACTGAGGAGTCGTAGCCGAGGCCCATGGTGCGGGCAGCGGGAAAGCCGTGGCAGGACCGCGCGGGCGAGCGCTGGGGACGAGGGAGACCCGGGCAAGACGCGACCTCCGGGAACACTTCCAGTCACTGCGCAGGCGCCGCGGCAAGCTGAGGGGAGCACGTGTGAGGGCGCGCCGGTAGAGTCGCGCATGCGCACTGGCCCCAACCCGGAGGAACGGTGATTTGACAGCCGCGGGACAGCCTTGGACGCCAAGGCGGTGACTGCGTCTGTGCCAAGCGGGCGAGACTATCCAGGCCGGGTTTTACAGGTGGTCCAGTTGTGAGCGGTTCAGGTGACTCAGGACTAGTACCTGGAGGACGGTCGCCCTACGGTCTGCCAGTTCTTTATGGCCGGTCATAAGCCCGCTTTGGCTACAGGTAACGCAAGGTGTGGCCAGCTCAATTGTGGGTCCTGCAAATCTGGCCGGCTCAACTGTGGGTCCCGCCAGACCAGACTTTGCTATAGGATACTAGTGCAGACACTGGCATTGATGGAACCTACACTGGGCCTCCATCCCTTGTCTTTGACCTTGCCAGTCATCCACCCAAGAGAGTCTCGAGAACACAAAAACAAAAACAACTTGCTCCGACTGGCAAGGCAGTTTAGCAGTAACTGTGCTTGCTCAACGCCATTGTGCTTGCTCAACATGCACAACACTCTGCCTTCAATTCCCAGCATTGCCTTGAATAAATAAACATAAGTGTCTCGAGTGTTCGTCTCTTAAAAAAAAGTGTTCACTTGGAAAAACGACTTAGAATGCCGCAGAGTGTTAGAGATTAAGAGCACATATAGCTTTTTGCATAGGACCCAAGTTTGATTCCCAGCACCGACGTAGGTGACCTGCTCTTCCAGCTCCAAGGAACCCTACTCCTCTGGCCTCCTTGAGCATCGGCATACACATACAATTAACTTTTTTTTTTTAAAATAAGAAAAGTGAATTAGGATGACTGTCAATCTCTAACACATAAACTTGTCAAGAGGACGTTGAGGCAGCGGTTCGGGGTGCCAACTGGAAGGTGTGAGAAGTAACATCTTCAATCCGGATGCTCCTGCCTCTTTGATCTGGGAGGGCAGGACGTGGTGGGAGGTCTGCCTATAACCAGCCACGTCTCTGGGTGCCCGGCCGCCGCCTCCCAGGCTAGGTGTGCCTCACACTGGGAAGCACCTGGGATGCCTGTTTGCCCCGGGAAGTTCTGGGGTGCTGGAAAAGAAGCAACCAGTCGGCAGGTGGGACAAGAGTCCAAGCCTGCGGCCTCTGAGCATGCTCAGTGCTGTCCGGTAGCAGGTTCAGACTCAGTCAGACTCAGAACCTGCTCAGTTCAGTGCTGGTCAACCTGGACGTGCTTGTGGAATGATGAGCGGGACTCGTCGGTGGCTTCTGCGCATGCTCAGGGAGCCGCTGGCTAGGCTCCAGTAGGGTAGCCTCTGGGCATGCTCAACGCGGCAAGGCCGGAGTCACGGCTAGTAGCTTTTGCGCATGCTCAGAGTGGTGCTGTCCGGGCAGGAGAGAGCAGGGGGCGGGCAGAGGCGGGGCCGAGGTGCCCTTATCCCCGGCGCGGGCGGCCGGGGTTCAGAGTGCGGGCCGCGGAGCGGGCAGCGCGGTCTCGGTATGGGTCCGCGCGCTAGGCCTGCGCGGGCGATGCCGTCCGGTCCCCCCTGACCCCTGACGCCTGGTGCCGCCGCCCCGATGGCCGCCGAGCCCCCTGCGCTGCGCCTGCGGCCGCCGGGGAGCGCCGGGGACAGCCCGCCAGTGCCGCGCCTGCTCGGAGGCTGCGTGCCGCTGTCGCATCAGGTGGCTGGCCACATGTACGGCAAGGACAAAGTGGGTGAGTGCAGCCTCGGGTCCCCTTCCCCGGTCTCCTCTGTACCCTGTCCGGGCAATCCCCGGCCTCCGCTGTACCCTGCACCGGCAGTCCTTGGCCTCCGCCGTCTCCAGCTTCGGTGGTCCTCAGTACTTGGCTGTCGCCACCCCGACAGTCACCGGCCTCCACTGTCCCCACCCTGCAGTCCCAGGCCTCCAGATCGTGGTCTCAGCTGTCCCCACCCTGGTAGTCCCCAGCCTCCCATCCCGATCTCAGCTATCCAAGGCTCTTCTATTCCCTACCCGGCAGTCCCCGGCCTCCGCTGTTCCCGACCCCGGCTATCCCTAGCCTCAAGTCCCCAGCTCCCGCCGTCACAAGCTTCCCGTCCCCGGGGCTCGGAAGCCAGGAGCCCCCAGGAGCGGCCACAGGCTCCTGGTGGCGCGGAGAGGCGTGCCCCTTCGTCCCAGGGAAGGCGAGTGTTGATTGGAGAAGGCGTTGTTAGTAAAAATAAGGAACTTGGTTTTCTTGTCTGGACCGGGAAGTAAATTCTCCCTGGAGCTCAAGATCTGTTTATACCCGGGAGTAGTAATTGCAAAAAGGACCCAAATGCATATATTCGATGCCAATCCGCTGCTTTTCTGCTTAGTGCAGCTGCATCGCTGGAGGGGAAGAAAAAAAACTGCTGTATGTTTTTAGTTTTTAAACTTGCCTTGGCTCATCCGAGATCACTCCCTGTCCCTTGAGGAGGGTTCTCGTGTCTTTGATTGCGCTGGGAGGCGTGGTTCGGCAGTGCGGAACCTTGCCTCCTGGGTAGCCTACCCGCCCCGACTGTTACATAGATCTGTACACATATAAAATATACATTCTTTTCTTGTTCATTTTTATAGACTGTTCCTTGGCATTTGTCATGTTGTTTGTGAATTCACGATTTATAGAACCGCACAGGTCTACTCCAGAGCAGAGACTGTGTAATTCATCCCGCTGCTCACAGCGGGCCCGCGGGGGAACCTATAAAGAATAGGATGGACTTGGGGCTCTTTTGATATCTGACCCGGAACAACCGTTAGAGACGGTTTGTGTTTTGCTGATAAAGGGGTTCAGGTTTAGGCTGGTAAGCTAATACGTTTTCTTTTCCTTTCTTCGGCGGTATAGAGGATTGATTTAAAGACCTCAGATAGGCTGGGTAAGAGCATTACCACTGACCTACATCCCCAGCTCTCCTTTTTCCTTTAAGACAGGGTTTCCCTAAGTGCGGCTTGGAACTCTCTGTACCCCAGGCGGGCTTTAAACTTTTGAGCTTCCTGAGTGCCTGGAGGTATAGGCATGAACCCACAGGCTTTGCTAAGGTAATACATTTTAAGACAAGCGTGGCTAAGTGACACACCTAAAGTCTCATTGCTAACAGTGTCCTCAAAGCAGAAACCTGCACCCACTATGTGATGTGGCTGTCAGAAGCAGCATACGGACAGACACGAGCTCTGCTGCGTGCAGGAAATGTTGAAAGACGACGTCAGAGTTAAGGAACTACGTTCTTGAGGTTCTTGGCTAAGATATTTCCTCCTATGCATCATATCTGGAGTCTGCTCGCCCCTGAGGACAGGGTTTCTACAATGTAAAGGCGGAAGAAAGCGATTGTTTCCCTGGCCAGGGTCCTGGAGGTCTGCTTCTGTGCAAAGAACAGACCCAAATAAAGAGCATCTGTGACTGGCACTTGAGACTAGGACATGATGCTAGCAGCCTCTTTAGATAGAGTCATTGGTGATCGATTCCAAAGTCTCCTAAATGTGTCCGCATTATAGACAATGCTGAAGGAGCTAATTTCTCAGCCGACATGCCTAATTGAAAGAATAATTGAGCTTGCAAAGAAAGTTGGCCCCAATTTTAGTATTAAGATTTTTTTTTTCAGTCTCACTAGATTCCTTTGACTAGGAGAGGTCAAATTCTTCATGTTGTGCAGCAGTCTGCTGCTTGTTGCTCTGGGCTCTCAGACAGTTACCCTGTAGGCCATGCTGGTCATCTTCCCTGCTCATAAACAGACAGCCAAGTAGTCAGCAATTCAAAGGTCAGCTGTTTATTGTTGTTCCTCCAACTGCCACAGCTAGGTCACATAGTTGAGACCTTCTCAACCTTGCTAATGCTGCGACTCTTTATCACAGTTCCCCACGTTGTGGTGACCTCCCCCCACAACCGTAAGATTACTTTTCTACTTCATAACTGTAACTTTGCCACCATTATGAATTGTAATATAAACATCGGTGTTTTCCGATGGTCTTAGGTGACCCCTCTGAAAGATCTTGTGACCCACAGGTTGAGAACTGCTGGTTCAGACCCTGCTCTGCGCTGCCTTTGCTCTTGATAAACTTTTGAAGGCATCGTGGGTGTTTGCCTTTGTTACCATCTTTAACTGCGTCATTCTTGCTATATAACTGGAGTTTTCATTTCAGAATTGATCTTTTTTTTATTCTTTATTTAGCTTTTTGTCCAGACCATTATCCATAACATCTTGTAATCAACACTCTAAACAAAGATAAATATCCATAATCCATTTTTGGGGAATGTGAACGTAGTTTTCCAGGCTACCTCCTACTGATTTGGGGGGGGCGCTGATAATCTTACGGGAACCTAAGGAAGATTTAGAATTATGATCAAGTCCTGACTGGAGTATTCTGTAAGACTTGATCATCTCAGCCAGCATTCTTGAAACTGTTATGGATGCAGAACTCAGACATCTGGGCCATCCACTCCTATTGGAGATTTCTCAGGGGGGTCTTCCTTGATCAAACCTGATTTTTCTTAGCCCAGAATGAATCCACAGCCTCTCATTTCCTTTGGAAACAAAAACAAAATCTCTTCTCCAAAGTAACCTATCTTTTGACTTTAATTTTGAAGTCAAAGCATTTTCAAAATATGTATGTTAATCCAGCAACATTTATATTCAAATGTCTTTTAGCAGCTGTTGCTCCTTCTTCAGCATTCAAACAATTCAAAGAGAACATAATAACATACAGTATCCAGATTCTCTGCGTGTTTTCCATCTTTATGTGGCTTTATTTTAAATTGTATTTCTTTTATTTTTACTTTTAATTTTTGGCTTTTTGAGACAGGATTTCTCTGTGTACCTTTTGCTGTCCCCGGAACTCATTCTGTAGATCAGGCTGTCCTTGAACTCAGAGATCTCTGCCTGCTTCTGCCTCCCAAGTGCTGGGATTAAAGGTGTGTGCCACCACACCCAACAACTTTTTTTCTTTCTTTTTAAAGGACTTTATCCTTTTTCTTTTCTCTCCCAAGCATACATATATTTTTAAACACACTGTAAACCATTTAGAGGTTTTCTTCATCTGAATCTATCTTTATGGTATATCTCTCTTTTTTTGACCACATGAGTCTTTAATTTGCTAAGCGATATGGCTGTGGCTTTGACCCCTGGATCCACCCCATTCCTTAGCTTTCTGAGATTCTACCTCTTGGCAGAGGTACTGGTGGGAGCAAAGTTTATAGCCACAACTCTTTGGAGTTTCAAGGTCCCTGCTACCACCAAGAAGCACGCTGTGGGCTATTCATAAACACCATTTAAGTGTCTGGTGGCAGAGCCTCTTAAAAGAGCTGCAAGGTTTCACAGCTAAGCTGAGTCAAGGAAGCCTCTCTTAAATGATATGCGTGCTTGTCTCTAGCAAAGAGAGCCCACCCAAGGAATTGCTGAGATAATAAGCTGTGCTTAACTATTCTTTTCTCTCTAGAATTACTTCCCTAGCTCTCTCAGGCTTTATGTGGATGCAGTTGTCCACGTGGATACCATTTGTTGACTGAAGTTTCTGTCCTGCCCAGTCCTGCAGCCGTTAAGCCCCAAAGAAATACAGAGGTCTACTACATTAATTATAAACTGGTTGGCCTATTAGCTCAGGCTTCTTATTAACTCTTTTTTTTTTTTTTTTTTGCTTTTGGAGACAGGGTTTCTCTGTGGCTTTGGAGCCTGTCCTGGAACTAGCTCTGTAGACCAGGCTGGCCTCGAACTCACAGAGATCTGCCTGCCTCTGCCTCCCGAGTGCTGGGATTAAAGGTGTGCGCCACCACTGCTTGGCTCTCTTATTAACTCTCATAACTTATATTAGCCCGTAATTCTTGTCTGTGCTAGCCACGTGGCTCGGTATCTTTTTTGGCGAGGCAGTCACATCTTGCTTCCTGTGTGTCTGGATGACGACTGCCTTAGGATTGATCTTATCTCCAAAAATAAAAGAGTTGTTGATTTAATTAATTTTTTAAAAAATGAAAAACACGGAACTTAGAAGAACTCAAGCCCTTGAACAACAAGCATAGCCGAGGGAAGGCTGTTAGTATTTCTGACCCCGCTTTGGTGTGGTGTTCTTGACTGAGATCGTATCTCATCAAAGAACATTGAAAACTTAGCTCTCGGAATACAAAATGTTTGGCTCCTGAAAATCATAAAAACAGCTCACAATCCTTTAGAAAAAGAAACAAGTGGTGCCCCTTACTCTGACTGTCCTAGGGTCAATCCTTGGTGGCAGCATTCTGCCTGTCCTTGGGCCATTGTTTTCAGGTACTCACTGTACAGGTAAATAACATTCGGAACCTTCACACAGACGCTACAGTGGCACAGCCTGTCTTTTGGTCTGTCCTGTACCTTGTAGTAAACCATGTTCATTTGATGTATAGGTGTTCCTTGACTTGCCATGGGGGTACTAACCCTCACCAAACACACTGCTGCCTGGTGGCTGGTGGCCATCTGGGAGCTTCCCTTTGTCCCACTTAAGAGCATCTCCTACAGAGTGCTTTGCTTACCTGTTCCTCTCTTGCTGGATGCCCTTGCTGGATGCTGTAACAGAGATGCATTAGACATTCCTGGACATGATAGCTCACCTCGCACATGGTTGCACCGTTGATGTAGATTCCCAGAGTTCTCAAATGTTTGTTTACGACCTCTTTATTGCTTTAGTGTCCTATCACATCCCACTAGTTTCACTTAGAGCCTGAACCGGTGCCTTGACCAAACTTGGTATGCAGAAGTG